GCATCCTTGCCAGCATTTGTTGTTCTTAGTCTTTTCAATGCTGGCCATCCTTACTGGTGTGAGGTGGTATCTCATTGTAGTTTTAATTTGCATTTCCCTGATAATTAGTGATGTGAAGCATCTTTTCATGTGCCTGTTGGCCATCTGGATTTCTTATTTGGAGAACCGTCTCTTTATATCCTCTGCTCATTTGTTAACTGGGTTATTTGCTTTTCAGGTGTTGAGGCGTGTAAGTTCTTTATATATTTTGGATGTTAACCCCTTGTCGACCATTTACTATTACTGGTGCTTTTTTAAATATAATTATACTGGCTTCATTGCTATAAATCTCATATGTGCTTGTTATTTTAAAATGTGGACAGATGTGTCTGTTTTGGACGGCAGTTGCCTGTCACTCTAACTCAGTGCCTGAATCAAGCAGATACAGAAGGTGGTGGGTCGCCATTTACAGCGCTGTCATACATTGAACACTGTCAGCTTGTAGAGTCCAGTCAGTCATTCCAGGTGCGAGGAACTCAGGGGTCCCACTTTGAATGTGTTATTTACTGTGTCTATAAATAAACTACTGATGGCTGTATCCCCAAGTTGGCACATCAGGCTGATGTAAGAGTCCCTTTCCCCCATCCTAGCTCCTGAACTATAGACACTGGAATGGACGGGGCGGCCCTGAGCTTCCTGCCTCTGGGGTTTCGGGTCAGGTCCCTAAGGACTGCCCCATCCCTACTGCCATCTTCCCTCTTCCTTAGACGGAGTAACAGCATCTCCAAGTCTCCTGGCCCTAGTTCCCCAAAGGAGCCCCTGCTGCTCAGCCGGGACATCAGCCGCTCGGAATCCTTGCGCTGTTCCAGCAGCTACTCGCAGCAGATCTTCCGGCCGTGTGACCTGATCCACGGGGAGGTCCTGGGGAAGGGCTTCTTCGGGCAGGCCATCAAGGTGAGTGCAGTAGCAGTGGCTCGGCTCTGTTCCCCACCTTCTCTCACCTTCTTCTGGGGAGTTCTTATCACATAGTCTCACCCTAAACCCTATGGGACAGCAGGCCCCCCTCCTGCCTACAGGTGATGGTGAGGGCTGCACCCCTGTCCTCCCAGGCCATCTAAGGGCATTGTTGCTGTTAGAGTGAGTTTGGTGGACCTGGAGACCTGGGTTGGGATGAGCTGTGCCCGTGGCCTTCCTGCCTCCAGCTCGTGGGTGTTTTTAGGTGCCCATAGGCCTCAGTGCCGGGCATGCTGCAGAGAACACACAGGCGAGTGGCTCCTGCCTCCCTGATGAACAGTCTTGGGGACTAACCTACCTCTCTTTCTCTCCTCCTCCTCTGCTGAGAGCTGGGAGGGGGGGTCAGGTAAGTGTGTCTCAGCTCTGGGGGCTGGAGAGCTCACCACCCAGCTCCATGGTGCATGTCTGTGACCCTCCTACCCCCAGACTTCTATTTGCCCAAGGGACTCACTCATTGTCAGATGACCAGAGCTCCTGCTTGGCTTGGCAGTGAACCCTCCTGCCTCTTTCCACGCTTCCCTTTGCTGGATTCTTGCCTCCCCTCGGTGCATGCCCGGCGCTCCAGGGAAGAGGCTATGCTCCTGCCAGAGTCCCCTGTTGCCCCATGGAGTGTCTTCTACACATGAGCTCTGTCAGTCTGCTCCAGCTCAGTGTCCTCAGGGGATGGGATGGCCACTTGCATAGAATTTCACAAAGAGAACTGCCTGTATTCTGTGCACGGTTAACAGTTGCTGTCCTTATAGGTGACACACAAAGCCACAGGCAAAGTGATGGTCATGAAGGAGTTGATTCGTTGTGACGAAGAAACACAAAAGACTTTTCTGACTGAGGTGAGAAGGTGGGGTGGTTAGGTGTTCGGTGTCACTGTTGGAAGAGGAAGATATTACTAAATAATGGTTTTAAGAGGAAATGGTTTGGAATCACGTTGTTGAAGCCCATGCAGGAAAGATCACTAGGCGAGTGTCCCTTCCCCCTCCGAGTCACAGCACGCTTCCTTGTTCAGTGAGTGCTTCCTAAAGACAGATCTGGGTACAAGGACACAGTGACAAAGGAGATGTGGTTCAGAGGAGCTCACAGAACATGAGGGTGATGCACAGGAAAACCGTCCAGTTTAGCACAACTAGATGAGATCATCTTCCCCTGAACCGCCGCTGTGGGGGCCTGGATGGGGCCTCCCGGAGAGCTCCCACCCTTGAGCACATGGTTTTCACTGCCTCTGCCAAGTGGCCCCGTCACTTCAGCTTGGTACACCTGTGTCCACTGCTGCCCTCCAGGCCTTTGTTTCACTCTTGGGCCTTACCCCCGATCCCAGAACCCCAACTAGAAGTCAGGATCCCTAGGGTGAGCGAGACCCGTGAGGCTATCCCCATCCATGTGGAGGTGTTCTTCCCCGTCACGTGGGAGAGGAGGAAGGAGAAGCAGGCAACTCCAGGCAGCCTGAATCCCGGAGGGAAGGGGTAAGGGAGACAGAGTGGGAAGTAACCACCCACCCTCCTTGACTTCCTCACCCTCAGGTGAAGGTGATGCGCAGCCTGGACCACCCCAATGTGCTCAAGTTCATCGGCGTGCTGTACAAGGACAAGAGGCTGAACCTGCTAACAGAGTACATTGAGGGGGGCACGCTGAAGGACTTCCTGCGCGGTGTGGTGAGCACCCTGCTCCCATAGTCCCCAAGTGGGTTCTCAGTGCGACACTCCTGTCACCCCAGCACTGGAACCACAGAGGCCAGGGAGGCCAGCTGCTTTGCCTGCAAAGGGCCATGCTGGGTGGGACTGGCACCGGCAGGGAAGGTGAACTATGTTGACCCCTGGTGCCTGGACCATGAGTGCGGCAGGGCCCAACAGTCTCTGATGGGCATTCTCCCGTCCTACAGGACCCATTCCCCTGGCAGCAGAAAGTCAGGTTTGCCAAAGGCATCGCATCTGGAATGGTGAGTCCTGACAACAACCCTGCCAGCAGTGAGGACGGGTGGGAGTCGGAAGAGCTGCAGGGATTGCAGGCAGACCCCGTCCTGGTCAGCCCTGTGGACTGGGTCGCTCAGCAGCTATTTTTGAGCTGTTCTCTGTGTCAGTGAAATTGCCCCCAGCTGGCTGTTTTCAGTTCCAAATATTCAAGGACAGACAGGGCATGGGCAGGGCAAATTGGCAAAGCAAACTAGCATAGGGTGGCCTGGCCTTGCTGTCGCAGGTGCTGGGGGCCCTCTGAACAGGCAGTGATTCCTGCCCAGGAAAGGAGAAGGGCAAAATGTGTTCTGGTTGAGCCCTGAAGATGGGTCAGAATCAGGGGAAAGTTTCTCTTGGCAGAGAGGCCCCAGGTTGAGGTGATGAAAGCTGCAGAGACCTGGGAGGGGAGGGGAGGAAAGTGTCCCCTTTACCTGGGAAAGTGATACCAGTCGCAGTAATAGCAGGACAGTTGCGGAGTGTTTTCTGTGTGCCGGGCGGTGAGCCGCGGGGCTAACACATGCGCGCTTCTTCCTCTTGATGACCCTGGTGTCCCGATGAGAGGCGGGCTAGAAAGGGGCAAGGCACGGAGCTGGGGCTAGTCAGTCCGACCCCAAGCCTGAGAGTTTGACACTACTTTTCATGTGGGGTCCATGAAGACAACATTAGTCTGGGGTACATTAAGGTCCCCGTGTTTCAGGCTGAAGAATCTGGACTTTGCTTAGGAAGCCAAAAACAGATGTAAAAGATTTTTAAGCATCAAAGTTTTGTGAGCAGAGTGCTCCTGTTTTGAAGATGAGTTTGTTCTGGTCAGTAGGTTGGGGTGGAGTCGGGAGAGCGCAGGGCAAGGGTAGAGGGCTAATGGAACATTAAAGCCTTCTGGATTGGTGTGGCCACGGGGACAGGAGACCAGGAGGCAAGGAGTCAGATTGGAAGGACTGGGTGGCAGTGACGGAACAGAGATGGGGGGTGGGGGGGGGGAGTTGGGTGACTTGGAATGCCTAGAAGAATGGCGGTGTCATTTATCATAAGTTGGGGGTTGCAGTGATGGTGGGGAACCAAGTCTAGGAAGAGCCAGGATAGGTGCCTGCTGAGGCTAATGTGTGGTTAGTGGGGATCAGCAGGCAGAGAGAAGATGGCTTTGAGAAAGGCTGACGTCGAGGAGGCTGGAGGGAAAAACCAGGCGCCCCAGGGCAGAGAGCATGGGGGGCTGCAGGCAACCTTTAAGGAGGGACTGGGAAGGCAGGTGCTGAGCTCCACAATTAGGGAAGGGCTCCCTGGGTGGGGAGCAGCTCCAGGGCGCTGAGGAGATGGAAGCGGTATTGCAGAGGGCTAGTGGCAGGGGAGTGGCTCCTTCCACATTTGCAGGGAAGGGAAGAAAAAGGAAGTGGCTCCTTCCACTTGACAAGATTGACAAGGGCCAAAGATGGAGGCCCAGAGACCGACTTGGCAACATTTGGATAGGAAGAGGGAGAAGCTGAAGTGTAGACAGAGAGCGAGGAGGGTGCCAGAGTCTCGGGAGGGGAATGTCAGGAATACAGAGCTTTCCGGCCCAGGAGGAGGCCACTTCTTCCCCTGTCACAGGCGGAAGAGACCCAGGGTAGCTGAAGCCAGAGACTGGGCGGAGGGGGCCGGCAACAGAGCATCTGAGGGCACTCACTTCACACGACCTGGATCTAATTAAAACGAGCAGAGGGGATGGGGGCACGCAAGGGCCAGGGCCCAGCAGAGTGGGGCACTTGAGGAGAACAGCGAGGGCTTAGGGCAGCCACTGGGTTGGGGTCAGTGAACGAGGGGTGGGCAGGAGATGGCAGCAGGAAGAGAGAGGGAGCCCAGGTGGCCTTTGACTTATTGTTGGTGGTGGCACAAGGGAGTGACAGCAGGAGGGCCCAGGCCCTGGAGTCCCGGTTAGCTTCTGAAGCTGGGTGGGAAGGCCTGGGAGAAGAGTGGGCTGTGTGGTCCCCAGTTCGAGAGTCAGCATCTGGTTGACTTGCTGGCCATTGGCTTCAGCTGGCACTTCTGTTCCAGGCCTATTTGCACTCCATGTGCATCATCCACCGGGACCTGAACTCACACAACTGCCTCATAAAGCTGGTATGTCCCACCGCTCCGGGCCTCCCGGGGCCAGGCATCTTGGCTTCCTTGTCACACAGGAGACTGACTGTTCCCTCGTGCTTCAGACCGGAAGTATCACCTAGGGCTCCCACCTTGCCCTTCCTGCTGCCTCTGGTGCTCCCCTCTGTCTTCTGGGGGCTCCAAACATGCAGATACAATTCCACCTCCTCCCAGGAGCAGCCTTTGAGATCCTTTAGTGAGAAGGGACTTCAGAAGTTCCTTAACTGTATATAGAGCTGTTCCTTTTCCTGGCTTTACCCTATGATGGCTGTAAAGCAGCTCACTGTGGACCCCATCCGACAGCCATGGCACCTGAAGTCTCAGTCTGAGGCCATCAAGCTAGTAAATTCACAGTGACGGTTGTGGGGCCAGCGTTCCTCCCACTGGCCCTTCTGCTGTGCTCGTTACAGTGTTGCTCCTCCTACTTACTGACTTGCAGCCTGGCTTCCTGGGTGTCCACTCCCTGGCCCTGGCTCTGGCTCCGTCCCCTGGACCCATACCAGACAATCTTAATCCCTTTTCCACATGACTGCCCAGTAGCAATTTGAAGAGCTTATCTCCCCCAAGTCCCTCCACTGACTGCCTTCATCTTGTCTGTGTCTGTCTTACTCTGGTGGTAGCCATGGCCTTAAAACTTTCTGAGAACAAGACAAGATGGGGAAAAAACAAAACAGAAGAAATCCCGTCCTGCCTCTGAGTTCCTCTCCTGAGCCAGGCTCCAGGAGCAATGCTGTGAACACCCGCCGTCTGGGGTCAGCCGTGTGCAGATGCCAGACATCAGAAAACCAATGCCCAGCCGTGTCCACCAGGAGGGCTTTAGCTGTGACCCTCCTTTGCTATAGTACTTTTCTCCCCTTCTCAGTGGCTTCTCTTGGAAATGTCCCCACCAAGTCCTGGCCTGGCCCTTGTCTTCCCAGGACAGGACTGTGGTGGTGGCTGACTTTGGACTATCACGGCTCATCGTCGAGGAAAGGAAAAGGCCCCCAGTGGAGAAGGCCACCACCAAGAAACGTACCTTGCGCAAGAATGACCGCAAGAAGCGCTATACAGTGGTGGGAAACCCCTACTGGATGGCCCCTGAGATGCTGAACGGTGAGTCCAGAGGGGAGTCCGGGGCACATCTTAGCAGCAGAGCCCTGGGAGCTGCAGGGCAGGCCCACGGAGTGTAAGGCCAAGGTGCCCACAGCTGAGGGTGGGTGATTCTTATCCCTTGCCAGACTGGGCCTCAAAACCCCTTGCTGTCAGAGCTCAGCCCTTACAGCGGGTAGTGTCCCATCCTGGGCCTAGGATGAGACGGACTGTGGCTTCTGTGCGCCAGGGGTAGCCAAGAGCTCAGGTACTGCCCTCCCTTCCCTCTCTGCGCTGAGAACTGAAGTGTGCTGCCCCCTCGTGGATGATGCTCAAACCGGCCAGAAATGCCGACCGGGATTCTTGAAATGCACAGGAGCGTGAGGACTCTGATGTGGCCTGATACAACCCTTGTTGGAGTCTGAGGCCCAGAGAGGTTCAGTGGTTTGCCCAGGAGCATACAGCTGGTCCACATGAACCCCGGTCCAGTTCTCTCGCACTGACCCACGCAGTTCCCTCACGGGCAGTGTTGTTTTATAAGATCTGTCCTGGGCGGCCTTTGGAATCTAGTCTTGGTTCTTGGCTCTGGCCTGGCTTGGCCCTGGACTCAGTGCAGAACAGATAGGAACCACACCTAACAGCCTGTTCCCCTGCATTCCCCAAGGGAAGAGCTACGATGAGACAGTGGATGTCTTCTCCTTCGGGATCGTTCTCTGTGAGGTAAGCTCTAGCATGGGGGCCAGCCTAAGCGCAGGCCTAGAAGCTCTGCCCTGCCTCAGAACTGGGGCTCCTCCCGAGGAGTGTAGGATGGTACCATTCATCACACATCTGTTGACACAGTCCCGCCTCATTGGTCCCATGAGAAGGACTAGGTGGGATTTGTTTCAGGTGAGGTGACTGAGGCTCTGAAGAGGGCAGTGGCTTGCTGTTACTCATGTGGCTAGTAAGGGGTGGGTGAGACTCAGAACTCCACTAGGGAAGGCAGGAGATTGTTCGTGTGCCTTTCCACCTAGCTTGTGGGCCAGATGCATCTTTTCCTCTCGGTCCCCTTGCCCAGGTGGTGGCCCCATCCTCAGCCTGACAAGCGGAAGTAGCCACTCTGGGGTGTTCCAGCCTAGTACATTGCTAGGCATTGTGGGGCACAGAGTGAGTCTTGGAAAGATTCCTGCCCTTAGGAGCTTAGCTCAGTTTAACACATATGTCCTACAAAGTGGTGAGTGATAGAGGAGAGACAGGGGATGGTTGGAATAATGAAGATTTTTTCAAATTGTTTTCTTTAATAGAGATCAGTTGGGCGTCTACTATCTACAAAGCATTAGGTTTACACAAAGGGTTTCAGACATGAATCAGACCCAGCACTTCATGTCACAGAACCTGAACTCTGGCAGGGGACACAGACACAAGGGGACACAGCAGGGCAGTATGGGACGTGTGGAAGCTGCCCATCCAGATCTAGAATGCTGTGTGCTTCTGCTGCAGTGAGGCCCCTTCTGAATCCTCCTTGGTAGCCAGACTCTCAGTCGAGAGATGTGTGTATGAGCAAGATTTGGAGGGGTGGGGTTGGGGGAAGTTCTCTAACCTCGGTTTTTACCTCCCTCTTCTGCCTGCCATCCTTCCCGCCCACATACCAGCATCCCTCGCCCGCCCTCTGGCCACACCCACCTTAGCCCATTCCTGACCAGCCATCCTCTCACCTCCAGATCATCGGGCAGGTGTACGCAGATCCTGATTGCCTGCCCCGCACACTGGACTTTGGCCTCAATGTGAAGCTTTTCTGGGAGAAGTTTGTCCCCACAGACTGCCCCCCAGCCTTCTTCCCCCTGGCTGCCATCTGCTGCAAACTGGAGCCTGAGAGCAGGTTGGTATCCACCCCCTCCCCCGTGAGCTCACATGGGCCTGGGATGCTTGCCTGAGGCCTCAGCTCTCCCCGGGGCCTCCCCAGGCACAGGGGTGGCAGAAGCCTTGAGCTCAAGGATGTAACTCTCAGCCAGTGAAGCCACCTAACAACTGGACATGCCAGGATTGGGAGAGGGAGATGAGGGCAGAGCAGCGAGTGACCTGGGTATAACAGACACACGGCCAAAAAGAAATCTTAACAGAAGAGAATTTACCCAAATCTATGCCATTCTAACAAAATAAGTATCTTCATGTTTCTATATTCCCCTATTCATGCATACACATTTTTAATATAGTTATAATCCCAAATGAAGAAAAGTTGTATTTTGCCTGGCATTTTCCTTGTTACTACCCAATCTTCCTGTTTATCATTTTTGTTACCTACAAGAAATTCAGCTGAAAAAACATAATGGAGATGTTTAAATTTTTCCAGTTTCTCTTTATAATAGATATTACTACAGTGAACCATCTATATGCATTTAGCTAATATTCTCCTTTAAAAAAATCTTTGAAAATTACCTTTATTCTTCTCAGACTATAGCTTTATGACCAAAGCTACCCTAGCTCTTTTCATGTTTGTGCATTAAACAAATCTTGTGCTTCTACTATCAAAAATCATGTTTCTTTTAAAAAATAAATTTAAACATTAGCCAAATAGATAGCATAGGAACTGTACATCTTCTCTAATCTAACCAGTGTGCCCCTCGGTGCTGTCCTCAGTTCTCCAAGATAAGATAGCCCATTGGAGCAAAGGTCCACTTTAAGTTGGCTTTGCTGGTGGGAGGCTCTGTACCCTGTTCCTTCATGGGTCAACCTGAGGAAAGAGGGTTGTTTAGAGTTGTAATTTTAAATATGATCAGAGTACACCTCGCTGAGAAGGTGACAAGATGTTAAAGCAAAAACGGAGGAGGTGTAGGAGTAAGTAAATCTCAGGATTCCAGGGCAGCTAAGTAATTTCCAGTGTTGCTTTTTCCTTGGGAAGAACTGCTGAGTGTTTGAAATGCCCCTTCCTGGGCAGATCCATTGATGTGGAAACAGCCTGAGGATTAGAAAGGACCTTTAAAAAGGAATTTAGTCAGTCCAATCCCACCTTTGATGATTGCATTTCCTTTAATAAGACATGGGAGGGGCTGATTTTTTTCCTGGACTTTTTTTTAAAGCTGCTCCCCCAGCCAGGCCAGCCTCCTACACGGTGTTACCTCTCATCTTTGCACCTCTGCACTAGCAGTAACATCACTCCCATCGCCTCCATAGGCACCACCAGGGGAAAGGGCTTACCGAAGGTCCTCCAGTCAGAAGGTGGTTGCGCTGCAGACCGGGATGCCTTCCACGGCACCCCCATGGCCCCTGTCCAGACTCACCTCCATGCAACTGACCCCTTTTCTTTCTAGACCGGCATTCTCAAAACTGGAGGACTCCTTTGAGGCCCTCTCCCTGTACCTGGGGGAGCTGGGCATCCCGCTGCCCGCAGAGCTGGAGGAGCTGGACCACACTGTGAGCACGCAGTACGGCCTGACCCGGGACTCGCCCCCCTAGCCCCCGTCTGGCCCCCTGCAGCGGGGCGTTCCACAGCCAGCAAGGCCCCCTCTGCGCCTCACCCCTGCTGTGGGTAGGGCCATCTGTGTGTCCTGTGGATTGGCGGCTTGTTGAGAAGCAGAACAAGCCTCCCCTACTACCTCCCCAGGAGATGAGCGGGCGAAGCCACAGGAAAATGCATCTCCACAGGGGCTGAGGCCTAGTTACTGTCTAAACCCAACATTTGCCTGAAAGCTGTGAAGACAGAAGAAAAAAGCCTGGCCCCTGGGGCCGGAGGAATCTGTTACTCATGACCACTTGGGAGCTCCCTGGCAGTGGGATTCTGGAAGCTCTTGCTTATGCTAATCAGCGTGACCTGGACCTGCTGGGCAGGATCCCAGGGTGGACTTGCCCCTGGGCTCTGAAATCTCTGGTCCAGCTGGGTACAGGGGAACTTCAGGTGGGAGTGTGGACAAGAGAAAAACTGGTGGCTAGGTGGCGATCCAAGGATGTGAAATGACAGTGGAGTTCCCGCTTCCACTCCATGGTGTCCCGCCCTCTGCTGGGGCAGGGGTTGAGCGGGAAGGTTTTGAAGAGTCCCTTAGTCAGTTGTGGTAGAGCTGTCCGGGAGTCAGGGGAAGGGCTGGTTTCTGTCCACCTGCCAGGCCCAGGAGCCTCATCAGTGTGAGGGGAGCTTCCACCTGTGTCCTCAGACTGTACTGCTTGAGGCTGGCCGAGAAATCCCAGGCGGCATCCTTTCTGCCCACAACCAGCAGTCACCATAGGTGCAGGAAGAGGCTGGAGGCTGGAAGGAAAGAGGCCCTGCCCTCTAGAAAGCTCACATCCTTGTCACCCATTCCCTGGTGGGCACCTCAGTCAAAAGCTGGAAACATTTGGCCAAGAGCTAGTTTGGTTCTAGGGGACACCATGGCTTGTTGCAGGCCCAGTATACAGGCTGGGCAGTGGGAATCCCAGCAGTCTTCTGGCCCTGTCCTTGTAGCAGCCACTGCTCAGCCCCCACTGTGCCTCACCGTCCAGCAGCTTGGGCAGGAAGAGGTGATGGCAGAGTCCCAGAGCTGGGGTGCGGCGGGGGACAGCTTCCTGAGCTGGGCTGTCTGGCTTCTACCTCCCTTGCTGGCTGGCCCAGCTCACAGCTCCTGGCTGCAGCCTCCAGAGCCCCAGGAACTCAGCGCACTGACTTGCTGCCTCCCAAGTGTCTGTGAGCTTCACCATGTTTAACAGATTAGGGATGGGTTTGGGATAATACTGCGATGCACGGTAGTGTCGGGGGTGGGGGGAGGTAGGGAGTTCAGAATGATCCGGGGCAGTGGTTGCTGGTAAATGCGATCTTGTTATATGTGTTGGGTGATACGTGAATTCCTGTACATGGGCCTAATGAGCTGTGGGAGTGTGTGTCATCTCTGGCCAGTTTACTTGCTCTGTAGACTATATGTGTGTGAGGAGTGTGGGAGCTTGCTGTGGGGTCGAGCCCTGGGCTCCCAGCAGCAGCAAGGTCAGGGTTGTGGGCTGGCTGTGCCTGAGTTCCCCAGCAGGCATGGGAGTGGCGGCCCAAGTGGGCCACTGAGCAGACCAAATAAACAGTTAACATTAATGGATGATAGTGAGAGTGTTACAGTGCTCTGGGGCCTGGCTCACTGAGGCACATGTGAGGGTCTGGTCGGAAGTGCAGGGCCTCCCCTGCTCCCTACTGGAGGAACTGCTGCTGGCCACATTCGGGCTCAGGCCACACGACCCCACCTCCAGTCCTCTCTCCTTACAGACACCAGCCTGCTCCAGAGGACATGCCCTTCCCACCTGAGGCAGTCCAACCCGTGGAGCAGGTCTGACTGACCCCCCACTGCCGGCCACGTCATTCCTCTGGGGCCCGATGTTCCTACCCTCTAGTTCGGTGTATAGCCGGGATGCTCTGGAGTCCTCTCTGCAGGGCTGGGTGCCACCTTCATAAGGGGAAGAAATGAATACAAGTCACCTTGCATTTCCCTACAAGTGCTTGTGGGAAGACCCAGGCGCAGTATAGACGCACACCCAAAGGGGATTCCTCCCAGAGCTCGAGGAGCCCAGCTCAGGGGCAGAATCTGGTTCCTGAAGAGACGTGCTCTAGGGTGCTCCTTGCTTATACAACTAGGTACAGACAAACGTCAGCGTGGGCAGATGGTCACACCGGGCACTCGAGAGGCCGAGAACTCATTGCTGAAATTCCCTGTTCAAAGCCCAGCAGACTCCCTGGTGCTGTTTCTGGAGCCACAGGGGTAACCCCACAGGGACCTTCCTCAACCCAGAGCTGTCCCCTCCAGCCAAAGGACCTGACCCTTCTGCACCCCCAGCCTGGGTGTTCGTTTGAATTACCTCCACCTCTGAAAGGATGCTGAAGGGGAGAGATTTGCAGTGACCAACTGCCTGTTGGGACGCCCTCATACCCACCTTTCCTGCAGCTTCTACCAGAAAGATTCCTGGGGGTGATGACAGAATGGAGAGGCCACAGTTAACAGTCATTCAGCTACTGCCACCACCCAGCCGCGGGGCCCAAGTGAATGAGGGAAGCCGGAGTTTGCCACATAGGTGTTGGTAAAGTAACCAGAAACCTCCCAACTACAGGGACTGTCCTGGCACCCCACAAAAATTAGGCAAAATAGAATCTTTGTTTTGTTTTTTGTTTTAATACAGAGCAATTTCCTGCACTTTACATACAGGTGTCAGAATGAGGTATATAAAACATACACAGAGAAATGCTTTCATAGAAAAGTAGAAACCAGTAATTTTCTTTCTTCAGCATCACTAACACCAGGGGACCCACTGAGGCCCAGTCTCCTCAGCAAACCCCTTCCAAGAACAGCCTGGTGAAGAGAATGGGTCCCACGACCCACCCCTCCACGCAGGGCAAGGGAAGGGCTTTGGGGAGGAAGCTCTGGGATGGGGGGCCCTGCTGAGGCCTCCGAGCATGACATCAGGGCTTGGAGCCCTGCCGAGCCACCCACAGTGCCCTAGCGCCACTCAGCCACACCATAGCTTGCTCAGTGACTGGGTGTCACTCCTTCCCTCAGGGCCCGTGCCCAAAAGGCCTGAGGAACCCAAAGGTCCCTTTGAATGGCTGTGCTGTGCGACTGTTTTACAAATTGGGGGCTGCAACCCTAGCCTTACTGCCCCACGGATAGGCCTTAGCCGGAGGCCGCCAAGGCCTGAAGCACGTCAGTCCCCTGCCTTCCAGGTTTACCTCAGAAGCAGCGCACAAGGCCCCACAGTGTAATTCGCATAGGTTAACTGGCTATTTTCTTACCCCTGCAAAATGAAGAGAGGTCCTTGTCCTCCCTGAGGAGAAATTGGGGTTCCCCAGGCCCCCCTCCGGTCCCGTGGCCTAAGGCAATCACGGATCTTCTGCCCTCTTCCTAAGTGGAATGTCAGTGCGATTCTTCCCTTCCTTTTCTTTTTGAAACAGGAAGAGTCCCCAGGCCCAGGCCCAGGCCCTGCCCACAGTTGTCAAGGCACATCACTGCCAGCAAGCTGGAGCAGCCCCCAGCCAAGATCCCATTCTCAACCCCCCAGTTTTGACTTGGACAAAAACTCATTTTTGGTTCTCAGAGGTCAGCAGGGAGTTCCATCCCAAATATTTTTAAAGCTAAATATATTTTTTATGTGCTGCCTCCTGACCTGCTTGACCTGAACCGTAGATAACTGTCTACCTTTCAGGCCCACAGAGAACAAATGGAAAGGTGGAGACCGGGGATATCTTAGATAATAAAGTACAGAGGAGCCTGGGGGAGCTCCCTGTCTGTCCCTGGTTCAGTTCCAGGGCACAGGCAATACTTGGCAGCCCCTGTCAGCAGCACTGTTGGGGCTGCTACTGTCTCTGTCCACAGGTAAAATTCTGCTCCAAGGGATGGAGGAGGAACATTGGTAGGACCCTACCCAGCCTCACCCTCAGCCCACAGCATCACCTGCCTCTGTTTTAGGATTACCAAAAAAAAAAAAAAAAGGTTTTTAACCACAACAAAAAGTGTAGATCCTCCCAGCTGTAGACAGGTAGGCTGTCCTGCACCAGTGTCTGCATGGGCTCCTGGCCATTCTGGGTGACTCAGGCCCCAGGAGTGCCTGCCTGGTCCATGAGCGGGGCACTGCCCTCCTGAAGGTGGACTGGCATCTGGCTGCTGTGGACCACAACAGTCTTCTCATCCACAATCTCACAGGTGGGGTTGGTGAAAGCAGACAAGGGCAGGGTGATTCTCTGCATCTCCCTCTCATACACGTGCTGCTCGTGCTGCTCTTTCAGTTCCTTCCCCCTGGCAGGAAAAGAGGGAAGCATTGGGCTGTGTCTCCTGCAGCTAGGACAGGGGCAGGGGCTAGTCATGGTCACTGCAAATTAGTGGTTAACGTACTATATTTCATTCTGCCCGACTACCTTAACAAGGAGCTCCTCTGCCTCTGGTCTCTGCTTCCTCCTCTGTAAAATGGGTGAGAGTAGCATGAACCCCATACAGCTACAGACGGACTCCATGCAGATCACACAGAGCAAGGAAGGAGACTCAAAGATACAGTTTCATTCAGAGAGACCTGGAGAACAATCTCAGCCTTAAACCCTAAAGTTGTTAGAAACTGATCTGATCATCCTGTTGTGAGATAATTGTCTCCTAAGGTTCTAGAAGGTGTGAGCCCTAGAGGGGAACAGGGACCATCCCCAAAGCAAGCAGGGATGCAAAAAAGACTTTCAGGGCTGCTCGGGTGAGTGGGAAGCAATGAGAAAATGACCATTTGAATCCTCAAGAGTTTTCATATGCCTTTGAATTCTCATGGTGCTCAGTGAGCCAGGCAGGCCATGGCATTGCTCCATTTTACCCACGTGGAGTGCTCACTCCATGCTAAGGACTTCATGTGCATTATCTTTCTTCATTCTTGGCTGAGCCCTAAGAATTAGGTCTTACTCATTTTATAGATGAGGAAATAGTTCAGAGAAATTAAGGAGCTCTCCAATAACATGGTGGGCTCACACCCAATTCTGCTGGACTCCCAACTGATAACTCAGAGAAATTGCAACCTGATCAGGGTCACCCCAGATAAAAGGTAGGGCAGGGACTCAAACCCAGTCTTTTGGTTGCATGTAGGATCCCTCCAACTGGGCAAGACCACCCCATTGCAGGCCAGAGGATTTGGTGAGTGCCTAGCACACTGCACACCAGAACTAATGCCCAGGACCAGGTCAGCATCTTGCAAAGCCAGCAGCTGGACACACAGGCTCAGCTGTCAGCAGAAATCTTCCCAGGCGCCCACCCCACAGACGCCTTGAAACAGGCAGGTGATGGATGACGTGGTGAAGCAATGCGAGCCTGCTTCAGACCTCCTCAGGGAGGTGGCTGAAGTCAGACGGATTACACATCTACCATGGTGTGAGATGCAATGACAAAAGCTTCCAGAGGCTGGGAAAGAATACTGAGAAAACAGCCGGGGCTGGGAGGAGAGGAGTTTGCACAAGTGCCTCAGAACTGTCTTTAAACCAACGAGTTCTCTCCTGTTCTAGTGCCAGCTCAGCCTTGGCTGTGGGACACTTGGCTAAACAGCCTCACCGAGCCTTGGTTTCACCATCTGTGAAATGGGGATAGTATCTGTGTCAAGATAATGTGAAAGCATTTCAAAAATAGGGGAACTTATGTAAAACTCACAGGAGGTTGTTATGATTTGCCCTGAATATGACTTGACTTACTTACCAAGCAATGTTATCTTAATCTGGTTTCCCAAAGAAACTCTCCTAAGGACCAGCTAAGGCAAGTATTGTTTATGTGACCTCAGCAACTTCCCTCCTCTCTGGGCTTTAATTTCATCATTTGTAAAACAAGAAGCTGGACTTGATCATCTCCAGGGGCCCCAACACATGAGATGTGCTTTGATTCCCCAGTACTCACTGTAAGGTCACAGAAGGTGAACTTGTGAGCTCATCTCAGAGTCACCTTGGGTGATTGAGTTTCTGGACTTGCAGGCCTGAGGGTCTTGCCCTGTCCTTCTTGTTAGCCTCTGTACTGGACACCATCGACTCTCGCGAAAGAGTAACTCCCAGAGCGCTCAGAGGGGACATGGAGGAACATGGGGAGGGGGTGTCTGGAGCAAGTGGATCCCCACTCACAGCCTGAGATTCACTTTGCCCATGGGCTCTGCTCATCAGTTACAGCTGCCACTGTGGAGAAGCAAACACCTACCTCCTAATAAAACAAAAGGCGAGATTCTTCAAGGCCACCCATGTAGGGAGAGACTTGGAAGGCCTGGGCTTAATTTTACTACGGGGGCCCCCAAGCCAGAAGACGACCAAAAGGCAGTTTACAAAAGAAGAGAAGCACCCACGCTTCTTTCATGAAGGCCTGAATTTCAAAACCTAAGGGGCTAGAGGAAGAGGATGTGGAAAATGCATACTTTCTGAGTACCTAGTAAGGCACCAGGAAATCTTATCCATGAAAGAGCTCCCTGTGCACTTCCGGGATGCCATGCACTGCACATACATGCCATTTTCATTTGCTTCCCACACCAACTTTGCAAGACGTCATCCACATTTTACAGGTGAAGAAACGAGTCTAACCCCAAAGCGCTGCTTTCCTCAGCTACCTTCTTTCCCAAGCAC